AGACTTACATCCTTCAGCCTATACCAAAATCAAATCAGAAGAATTAAAGTCCTAGATATAAAAACAGAAACACTAAACCTGGTGGTAGATAAATTAAGTAAAACTTGAAGACATGGATATAGGAAATGACTTTCTCAGCAGAACCCCAATTACAATACATAACACCAAAATCAATGAATAGGATTTATCAAATTAAAAAAGCTTTTGTACAGCAAAAGATACAAATAACAGAATGCAGAGAAAACTTATGGTATGGAAAAAAATTTGATAGCTACTCCTCAGACAAAATTACTATCTAGAATATATAAAAAACTAAAAAAAATTGCATAAAAGACCCAGTCACAAAATGGACAATTGAAATGTCCTTTTGAGACAGTGTCTCACTATGCAGTTCAGGCTGGCCTTGAGCTCATTCTGTAGCTCAAGCTGGCCTTGAACTCACAGCGATCCTCCTGCTTCAGCCTCCTGAGTGCTAGGATGACATGCGTGCCCCACCACGCCTGGCTTGGACAATTGAAATGAATAAGCACTTCTCAAAAGAAGAAATAAAAATATCTAATAAGTATATGAAAAATAAATTTCAGTATGTTTGGCCCCTAGGGAAATGCAAATCAAGTACTGACATTCCATCTTACTCCAGAAAGCATGTCTGCTGGTGATTTAGCTCAGTGGCACAGCGCCTGCCTGGCAAGCACAACGTCCTGAGTTCAATTACTGGTTAAAAAAAAAAAAAAAAGACCGAAAAAATGGCTATCCTCAAGAACTGGAAAAAAAAAGGCAAAATTGTGGAGAAAAAGAACCTTTCTACGTTGTGTGTGAAATTAATACAACTACTATGGAAATTAGCATGGGGATTCCTCAAAAAATTAAAAATAGAAAATCCTTTGACCCAAGTAGACCTCTTTTCGGTATCTTCTCTAAAGATTTAATGTTGTCATATTACAGTGATATTTTGCGCATCCTTGTTTATAGCAGCACAAGTAACAATAGCTAAATTCCGAAAGTGGCTTCTGTGCCCGTCAGTAGAGGAATGGATAATGTAAGTGTGATGTATATATAGATAGACACAGATATAGACTATTCAGCAATAAAGAAAAAAATTTGAAACATTTATTAGGAAAATGGATGGACTCTGAGACCATAATGCTGTTACATAAATCATTCACAGAATATAGACTATCCCATGGTTTTCTTATATGAGAAATCCAAAGTATAAATAATTTAAGGAGGAAAATACAAAGTGGATGATAGGAAACAGGGTTATTGACTTTTAGAAATGGAAAGGGCTTCTGGGAATGGGCTAAGACAAGATGGTGGGGAGGGGAAGTGAAAATAAATAAGACTACATGTGATATGTACACATACCAGTTCCCCATGAAGAATGTATTTATCATGTATCTCACATATATACTAATAAAATGATACACTAAAAAGAAATGCTTTTTGTTTTATTTAATTTTTTATTTCAAAGAGAAAAAATTTAAATGATTAAGAATTTCAAAACAAGATGATAGGAAGTTAACAATGGTTGCTGTATTGCATATGGTTATCTTCAAAGTAGCTGTTCAGATTACCAGATATAGGCATGCAAAATTGATCAAACAATTGAGCATCAACTTTTCCTTTCAGTAAACCAATAAAAATTCATAGTACAATTATTTTAGCTATCTTGAAAACAACACAAGTGCCATTCAACTGAGGAATGGATTAAAAAGATGTATTATTTTTATATAATGGAGTATTACTCAGCTAGAAAGAAAGATAGACTTGAGGTTTTTAAAGGTAAATGAATGCAACTAAAGACCATGTCCATAAGTGAAATAAATCAGACCCTCATGTGTAAGCATCATATTGTCTCCCAAGTGTAAGACTGAAAGAATAAATGAAATCCAAATGGTACAATAGATATTGTGAAAGGGAAAGAAGCTGTTCAAAAGGAAAGAACTGGAATGGGGAAAAAAGAAAAGAAAGGAAGGAAGGAAAGAAGGGATGGAGAGAGAGGAAGAAAGAAAGAAGAAAGAGAGAAAAAGAAAGAAAGAAAGAAAGAAAGAAAGAAAGAAAGAAAGAAAGAAAGAAAGAAAGAAAGAAAGAAAGGTTTAACAAATTTAAAAATAATTACCCATATGCAAGTTCTTTAAGTAAATATTACAATATAATTATTCCACATAAATTTCATTTGCAATATTCTGTAAAGAAATTTACAGAGTTATGAAAACCCTTAACAAAGTATTTCCAAGCATAGACCTAAAAATCTTGCCATATTTCAACCTTGAAGGCATTGCACAAACAGATAAAAGAGTACTAAAGGGGCCATTGAAGACTGTTAAGTTTCAGAAAGGAAAACACAGTAATCAGGGCAAAATAAAATTTTCAAGTTATTTCTCTCTGTGAATAAGCATTTTAACCTCGGTTTCTCTCCCCTTTTTGCATATTTTCATTATGGTTGCCCAACAGCATTAAGCTTGGTGTCTTTAGAAGACACAAATATTTTAAACTTTTGTTGAGATGGCTGGTGTTGCTTCCTTTGATAAACAAAAGTTTCTCTCTGTGGTGTGTGTGTTTCTCCTAAGGAATACCTCAAAGAAATGATTTAGCAGGCTGCTAGGTTCAGAAAAATGGACATTTAGTGCTGCTGAGAAAGTCCACATATTTTTGTTTTGGTGAGAAATTAATAATTTTTTTTCTGGAAGCAAGTCCTTTGCAAGACAAAAGTTGTAAAGACTCAAAATGATCTTTAAGCAACAAAAAAGCATGCACAAATGGTACTAATTTTGACTTGCTGAGATATTTTTTCCACTGCTGCGTTGATCTCAACAGCTGTAGGTACTTAAATTCTCTTCCTGGAGCTCTTGCACCCGACATTATGCACGAGAGAAGGAGTAAAGACAATTATTACCAATTTTTCACAGAGCCCACAGAGCCACTTGAGGGAGCATAGACATTCTTCCTTCTGTCACATTACTTTCCCACTCACCAATTGCTACAGCTTCTCATAAAAGAGAACAGTAATAGTTATTAGGAAAAAAGGAACTTTTATATATAAGAACAAAGCAAAGAAATGGTAAGAGAAAGAAGAGAAATAAAAAGTTGAGCTAGTCTTTTTTCAAGCTAAGGGTATCTCAAATGACATATAATGAAAGGTCTTTGTGGGTTTGATTAGGTGTGTGTGAGCGTTTAGGGCACCTGTGCCCACAGGGGGCTGCACCAGCAGCCAAATGGTAATGCTGGTGTGTAATTACGGAGCACTTAGCTGCATTCAGACATGGTTTGTTTCTCTGATAATTTCCACTTTCATTGTTCAAGAGGCTGTGGACACTGTAGAAGCTGAGGTTCAAGTACCTGCAGCTGTTCAGATAAATGAATATTGTAGATGTTTTAAAAAGTTTCCAGTAGGAATGCAGCTTAAGAGGAAAGTTTGACAGAAGTACATTTAAAATATTTTACTTACCTTTCCAAAGCTATAAAATCCTAAATCTATAAATGGATTGTTCTTTATTTCTCTTCTTCATTTCACAAGCTGACTGAGCTTTATGCCTCAACCTATAGAACCCATCCTTCACACATGCTATTAAATTCTCTGTGTGGAAAAAGCTACTTCGATTTACTACTGGACTGTACCGGCATAGAAGCTATGTTGTCTGCTCTTGTGATGTATAACAAATATAGACATTTAAAAATGTGTTAACTCACTCTGAGCAACTTTGGTGAAGATAACTATGTAATACAATATCCACTGTTAATTCCTATCATTCTGTTTTGAAGCCCTGTATCATTTATATTGCTTTTGCTTTGTTTTGTCTACGTTGTTGTGATTTTGTTATTTTTTAGTCTCTTTACAATAAAACTATGTTAACCCATTTATGTGAAAGGAATAAATGCGTTCCAAAAGAGCGCAACATTGCCAAATCTGAACACAAACATATTTTAACTTTCTTGAATTTCACTCCTCCATCCAAAAGTCTTAGATGTATTATTTATTTGTATTTCACCCTTTTAAAAGTTTGGAACATCTAAAAACAGAGAAGGAACAAAAACAAAATTTAATGTTTTTCCATTTCAGCACCACGGACAGAGCGAATCTGCTCTGCTGGGTTTTGAAGGATTGTTTCACCAACACAAAATAAAGTTTATTTACAAACAACGTTGCCTGATTAATTATTATTGCTCTTCTAATTTTATTGCCTTTTATAAATAACATATTCAAATCACTATAAAATTAGGAACTTCTACTAAATTGCCAGAATACAAAAATTAAGTACTATGTAAATTTGTAGTAATTTCAAACTACGAGTTACATTTCTAAACTTTATACTGAGACCCTTGAGCAAGAGTGTAGTTTTTTAAAAATGTAATAGTTGAAGACTTATTATTCTCAACATCAATTTGATAATATCGGGGGCTGGGGATTTAGCTCAGTGGCACAGCTCCTGCCTGGCAAGCGAAAGGTCGTGAGTTCCATTCCCGGTACTGGAAAAAAAACAAAAACTAAACAAACAAAAAAATTTTGATAATATCCGATAAGTGTTTCTATAGACAAAATGAATATGCACTGGGAATGGTGGCACAACCTCTAATGGCAGTACTGTAGGATGTCAAGGCAAGAGGATCACAAGTTGAAGTCTAGTCCATGCAGTTTAGTTAGACTGTCTCAAAATAAAAATATAGAAAGGAACTGGGCATGTAACTCAGTGTGAAGGTCATGGGTTCAATCCCTAGTGCCACAAATAGAGGGGTAGATAGGTAGGTGGATAGATAAATAGATTATATGTTAGATAGATAGATAGATGATGATGATGATGAAGATAGACAGATAGACAGATGATAGATGAGAGATAGATAGATAGATAGATAGATAGATAGATGATAGATAGATAGATAGATAGATAGATAGATAGATAGATAGACTATGGTCCTGGCCTCAAACCTTGTTTTATCATAGAAATGGACTGACTTTTGTATATCATATTAAGTAAATAAATAAATTGAGCAATACAACTGAATTATCTCTTAATATTATTTTATTAAAAAGTTCACAATTAGAGCACTTGTAATAACACAAAACATTTAAAAGCAACAAAGGCTGCCCTGAAAGAACTTTTCTGGAAACACAAAAGAATTTAGCATGTGCCCTGTAAGACTCAGTAGATCAACAAAATCTATCATCTGTAGGGAATTACTAGGACTTCCAAGTTATTGCAAAATTAGCAAAGAGAGTGAATGGCGCAAATCTAAAGATTTCACTTGGCCCAGGATAAAATTCAAAGGAAACAAAGAAGAATATAACTACTCAGTGTTTTCTACCATCTGCCAACATTCTCCCATAAAACAAACCTGGAAAAAGGATCCTGTATAAAAATCTATAATCTAAAGCTCTTGTCATATTTGTCAAATTCAGTATCATGGACTGAAGAATTACTTTTTCAGAGACAGGTGAGAATAATTATCAAAAGCAATATACAAACATAATGGAAAAGTTCATAAATTAAATCTATATTTCATTTTACCAAATTTTATAGTACTCTGCCCTGAATGTGACCTCGGTGTGGCAGATACCATTTAAAAGCAATGACAAAAGTGTGTTTAAAGCACAGAGAGTTCAGAAGACAGAATAGCAGCATTTCTATCTTGATCATCATTAATCAGCACCATACAATGTTAACTCTAAGTAAGTCCACAGATAAGCCTAGATCACTAAATATAAAGAATTAATAAATGGGTGAAAATTCCTGAAGAATGCGCTACTTAAGAAGGACTCTAAATAAGATTTTGCAAAAGTGACTGACAATTTATTTGTGAAAGATACAGAATAAGGTACTATAGAGTGAACTCAAATAAAGTTTCATATCAATATTCATCTGTGGGAAACAAAGTCAGGAATCATTTCCTTTAGGTAAAACATGGCTCAGGTGATTTAAGAATGGAACTGTGGTGTCTGCTTCATGCTGCTTTTCTGGCACCGTACTGCCTATAGTGGAAAAGACTCTTGGAGTCCACATTGCGAGATTTCTGCATAGCCTCAGCAAAAAGTTTGGTCACCTGCAAAGAAAAATGTTAAAAATCTTACCAACCCACATTAATTGAAAGTGAATGTTGAAAGAATCAGAAGTGAAAAGTCACAAGGATCTGCTCCCAATTTTCAAAGGGGCATGGGATGAAAGGCATGATTTTTTTTTATTTGATAGGGACTTCCACCCATGTCTCAGACTTCACCATGAATAGGTTTATTTCTCCTCCCCCATTGGGATTAAAAGAAACTTGGGGAAAAAACAAGATGGACAGAAAGTCAATGAGTCTCAAATCTGTGAATCTTTCTGTATTAAATTTGCTGAGTCATGTACACATGAAACTACATATAATTCATATAATCATTTTCTGTGAATTGGACAAGCCCGTGTACGGCATCTGGACCTTCAGTTATTACCTTGTGTTATCTTTCTGTGGTATCTTTCTGTGGCATCTTTCATTTAGAAACAGAAGTATAAAAGTGTGTATCTTTAACCCCTTCCACACTATCACTTTTTATTCAAAGTATAATTGAATGGGTAATGAAAGAGCTAAGGCCATTCATGGCTTTGGATTATCTCAACTGCTTGATCACCAACTGTCCCATGCAGGTTATGACCTACTGTATTAACATTATTACTGTAAGAGTCTATTAAAAATTCTCCTCTAAAAGAATCGAGATTTGTTATGCAATGATGATAGTAAATGGTATCATTATGTACTGCAAACATATACTCATAACAATTAAAAATAAAAAACACCCTAAATCCCCCTCTATTCTGAATGTTACAAGGAGGGGGAAAGAGAGATATGCATACACTGGTTAACACTTTTAGGGGATGCCCAGAAATGAAACCCACATGCAGCTTGCATACAAGAGAAAGAACATACCTGAAAATTAGTAAGGAGAGCAATTCCACTGTCCACAGCTGTCCTTCGAATCACATAATTATCATGGACAAACTTAGTGTTGTTATTGGGAAGATTAATCACAAGGTCAATGCTGCCGTCTTTCATCAATCTGGAAAAATAAAGAAATAAATGAACTCGCGATTGAGGTAATGATTTGTACTTTATAGTTTTAAAAATACTAACTACTTATTCTCTTAGCCATTTACATCAATGCCATACTCAGGTGACTGTCACCTGCCCTCTTCTATTCCCAAGCAGATCTTCAAATTATTCTCATGTGGGGATTATAGCTTTTATTGTGTTCTTGAAATAATGCTAGCTAATGCTAATTGACCCAAAATATGTTTACTCTTCAATATGTTATCTGATCATACTAAGAATTGGTAATTTGATAGATATATACTTTGTTTCTTTCACAAAGAAGTGAAACCTCTTTCATTGAAGACCCCTCCATGATCCCACCCCTACATTATGCCTATTTCCTGCATTTTTTCCTAGCACTTCTTAGTAGATGCTATGAGAATCCAGGTCACCTGATTTTCAATTAAACCATTGCAAATTCTCTGCTAGGCTGCTACACAGTAAGAGACATTTAAATATCAAAAGCTTGAAGTAGTGCTGTTTATTATTTTACAGAGCTCTAAAGCAAGGGGGCTTATAACATCCTGGGAAGTTTACTAAGGTCTACACACAGTGCCATTTTTTAATTAGTTTGACAGTAATTTATAGGTTGACTTCTTAAAAGCCTTAACACGCAGTTTATTTCATAGAATTTGCACTGCAATGCCTTTGGATCGTTTGTAACATCCTGCAACAATTGAGAAAACTCCACAGTGTACTCATGCCACATAGTTTCATAAGTATTGATGCATTAATGATCTGTAAGGTTCATACAATATGCTGAAATAATGTCTTAAAAAATCTAATGATGATATGGCCTGAAGCATAATAAAACACCTTGATAAGGGAGTGGCTACTCAGGTAATCCAATGAATGACATTATCATAGTTCTCCACACAGTTTCCCGCATGCAGAAAGCTCTCAGTAAAGTGACCGATTCATTGACACATTGATGTGCAACCTCACCGAACTGTGACCAATATTACATCAATTTTATACTATAATATATATGTTTGATCTGAACTGTACAGTGCTATACTTTTATTTGTATCTATCGGGGAAAGCATTTTTACCAGGAAGTATTCTAATGATGTTTCCATAACACCACATACCCAGGTGATAGTGTGAGTTCTATAGTAATAGCAATTCATAAGAGTCAGGTTTTACTATCATCCACAAATATACTAATTGTTAAACTGATTGACTAAAAGCATTTTTAAATAACTTGCAATTGAGTAAGGTGAAACATTTATATCATGCTAGCCAACACAATCAGTCCTCTATGTATCGAGCAACTCAGAAAACAGTCCACCCAGCTCTTACTTTCTGATGGAAGAAAGACTGGGATTCTGTCCTTCCTGAGATGGCCATGCCACTGGGGTGGCAGGGACATTGTTGGCATTCAGCCAATCGGATGTGGCTTCTGTGGCAAAGAGCTGCATTTAAAATGGAAAAATTAGTTACTCTATCAGAGGGAATAATTTTGTAGAACCAAAGCTTACTAGGACATAAGTACCATTGAGAGCACGAAGAAGAAACTGAAAAACGCAAGAAATAATATTGTACCTAGAGTACAGACTTAGACTCAGAATTCAGAAGCCCAGATGCATTATAAACACTGAAGGAAGAAGTTAAGAATGTCAGCTGTAACTGCTTGTGTAGAAGGAAAAAATAGAGAATTATTCTTGGCTTAGAATTTTTTCAATCAGGTCAACAGAACCACATGGCCACAAACCAGTCTGAGCCATGGGAATAATTTTGCTTTACTGAACTTGGCTTCATATGGAAGTATTCATTCTGAAGAAGTTGTGCCTATAACAACTGAAAAGTATGATCTCATATGGAAACAGGAAAGTAAAAAGGAAAAATATATAGAAATGACCAGAATTAAGTCCTGATTATGCTTCAGCTAAACTAAGTTTTTTGCTGACAATTTCTATTGAGTTTATAATAATCTTGTTAAAATATACAACTACTTTTTCTATTTTATTCTACTGAAGACTTTATTTTCTAACAGGAACACAAAGCCAGTCTTTAACAAGGCCTGTGCTGCAGCACGAAGGGGTCAGCACACAGGAGGGAGGCCTCTTAGACAAAACCAAAAAAGAGGCTGGGGAGTACTGCTTATATAGCAGCTGCAAGCCTGTGTCAATGAGGGCCAGGGCTGAAACCAGGGAATGTTCTGGAAGGCTAGCTGTGAGGGTTGGGCAGGGCTGAAAACCAGGGAATGTTCTGGAAGGCTAGCTGTGAAGGTTGGGCAGGACTGAAACCAGGG